AGGCCAGGCTGAGAGAGTTGGGCTTGTTCAGCCTGGAGAAGGCTGCAGGAAGACCGTATTGCGACCTTCCAATACTTAAAGGGGGCCCACAGGAAAGATGGGGAGAATCTTTTTAGCAAGGCCTGTTGTGACAGGACAAGGAATAATGGATTTAAACTGAAGAAGAATAGATTTAGACTAGACATAAGAAAGAAATCTTTTACAGTGCAGGTGGTCAAGCACTGGAACAGGTTGCCCAGAGAGGTGGTAGAGGCCCCATCCCTGGCAACATTCAAGGTCAGGTTGGACGGGGCTCTGAGCAACCTGATGGAGTTAAAGCTGTCCCTGCTCACTGCAGGGGGGTTGGGCTGGATGACCTCTAAAGGTCCCTTCCAACCCAAAGCATTCTATGATTCTATGAATCCATAACTCAAATAATTTATTACCTTAATTAAATATTACACACTTCCACAGATTTGTTGCTCTCCCATCCTATTTCCCTTTGTAAAATACCGTTCACAAAATCCACATTTCCTTAATAAAATTCACACAGAAATTTTGTTTTCATATTCTAAGGAAACTGAAATCCATTTGTCAGAACACATTTGCAGTTTTTCCTTTCTCCCCCCCTTTAGATCTTCTGCTTCTGAAGAGTCTAATGCTTCATACTGATTTCCTACTGATTTCAAGGGGGATCAGTGTAACTCATCACACGGCCAGGGAATTTGCTCTGGGAGTCAAGGAAAAGCTCCTTTAACCACAGGTTCTTGAAAGGCTTCAGAATTCTTTTTGGCTCTTGCATTGAAAAACAAGCACTCGTAGTCAAGATAGTCAAAAAGACAGGGAAATACTATGTATTACACCAGGTCATAGCTGTGTGTAAATACCCTGCTGACACAGAAATTTTTCTTAATTTACCTTATTTTCTTTGTCTTGCAACAAGTAAGTGTACTGCATTCCATGAACAGCATCAAATGAAGAATCCGAATGTGGAAATAGATCACAAGTACATGTGGAAGTCAGTTCGGGTGAATAATAGGAATTAACAGGGATTTAAGTTCAGTAGTCATTTCTTTCCCTAAATAGTGAAGAATGATGTGGTTTTGACTGAATTTGCCAAAAAAAATGAAATGCAGGATATGTATTCTCAAGTTCACTGAAAGACACGCAGAAGTGAAGAAGTCAGCTGTATTGGTGTACTTCGGTCCCAAGTTAAGCACAGTGAGTTTTGATGTGAGGCTGTGAATTGGTGTAATTGACAAAAGTGATTCCAACCACAGCAAAGGGCCAGGGAGGGGAATTAACTATGAGCTAGTTCAGGATGTGGCCAGACCTGTTAAGTAGGTTGCTTCTAGGTCTACATTACATTACGGTGTCTATTCCTACTGAGAACTTGGGCAAGTATGCCAAAGGCTGGTCTTACCAGCTTCAGAGTAGGGTACTGAAGGAGTATCAGTCCTTGACTGGAAACATTCTTCTTGTCCAACTTTCCTGTTTTTTTGGGGACAGACCTTTACATTTCAACTTTTGTTCCAAACTAAAATTTTCTTGGCTAGTAGTTGTACTAGCCAAGGAAAGCAACAGAACCTGATGCAGCTAGTTAATAAGGCAAAGTGCACACTTGAAGTGTGAGAAAGCTACTCCTGGCAATCTTATCAACTTGCTAAAAGACCCACAATGAATCAATTTACTTTTATGTCCCATCTTTTGTTTGCTTACATTTTAAATACCTGAAGGCTGAAGCTATCTTTTACTGTCTGCATGCAGACTCCATAATATAATGTCGGTTGACATTGATTGGTGACGCCTTAATATAAGTTATTAATAACCATTAGATAAAACTGTGTGTCAATTTTGATTAAAGGTGTAATATAAACTCCGAGTACATTGAATACCAATTTAGTAGTACCTCTGTCGTGAACCTTCAGTCTTGCTTTCTCCCTTTACTCCGTGCAAGCAGTAAGGATTTCAGAAATATCTACCATAACTAAACATATTACTTCATTCTCCCCTTGCACACACAGAAATGAAATATTACAGGTTGGTTGTTTCAAACCTGGTTGTTCTGGAAGTCATAATCCAAAGAATATTGGATTTTCCCTAGTTTCTCCACTTCTTTGGGTTCTTCCTTCTCTTCCCCATCAGTCAGCCCAGTCTCAGCATCATCATCCTTAAGAGCCTGGAAAGAAGGAATGTAATACCAATAAATAAGGCAAACTCTTAAGTACCAGTTTAAAATAGACACTGTCCTCAAATCTATTTTAAAGCCACTAAAAGCAAGCATGACAGCAGAAATCCAAATATGCAGTTTAGATATATGTTTATACTATCTATGTTGCTCAAGAAGATTTTATAAATCGGCAAGCAAGCAATGGAAGTAGGAAGAAAGCTTCTTGGACTACTACAAGCAACGATTGTTATAAAACCTGAGAGTAGAAACAAAATATCAATTCAATATAAAAAAATTCTTCTGGGCTCACACTGGCTCTTAAAGAGGCACAAGGAGGCAAACATGCTATTGAATAAGCAAAGTCACGCATTCATTCGACTTAAGAATACCTTGGCAATGTCAAACCTGGTTGTGCATGCTGTGAATTGTTTGCAATTGGCAACGCGTTTCTGTAGGATTACTATGATAAAGAGCATGTGCTGTGGATGAGTTCTTCCTACAATCATATGCCAAACATTTTTCATGTTTATTTAGAATGAATATGGAAGCAAAGTTTTCACCATGCCATTAGCAAATGCATGTTTCTCCTTTTCCCTCCCTCCCGAGACCAATTTCCTTTTTATTCATTCTCGCTATAAAGCTTGGCTGAACCAAATTGATTGAAAGTTGATTTTAGTTTGCTTAGAAAGAAACACAAAAAATAAAGAAATACAGAACTGCTTACAGCTTTCTCTATTGCATAAAACCTGCTATTTTTAAAGGACACAGCAGTTATCTTAGATTTTATACATAATTAAAATACTAAATGATGCGATTTTTGTGCTGTACCAGAAAGCAGAAGTATTTGCACTGTGGAAAAGGGAATTCATACAATTATTAAACCATACGAACCATAACTAACTACGTAGCTCTTATTCCAGCAGATTCTTACCTGAGTAAGAACTGAAAAATGGGCAGAAGTGATGAGACAAATAGTGAAAAATTGTGGCAAATGTGAAAATAAAGTTGAGAGTGTGAAAACAAGGAATCAATACTGAGAATTCATCCAGAACTGTTATTTGCATGTTATAGTAAGCAGTAAGCTTATCTATAAGAGCCCTATCTGGATGAAAATTCCTTCTGTATGGAGCTTCTGCTTGCAGAAACAGCCTATTAAGCACAAGAATAAGATTTGTTATGTTCTTTCTTTTTTCACAGTGTGAGGTGGTCTGAAGAAACCTACCGCATACATAAAAGGTTGCAGCTGGAGCTCTCTATCTGAAGAGACAGCAATGCTGGAAAGTAGCTGTACCCACGGTAGATGGTGTTTGGTGAAAGAAAGAACATGAAAGCATTAACATTCTCACTCAGCCATGAAGGCAGTGGGGGCCATGCAACAGTTGCGTGGGTGTGGTAAGAGAAAAGATTGATCTCTGAGGTAGAAATGTTATTTTTCAGAAGCCAGATCTAAATTCAAAAGGTCAGACTCAAAACTGTACAGTATTAAGCAATTATTTCTCTACTTTTTGAAATAAGCTAGAAATTCAGCTGGCATAGCTCAACTGAAATCAATGCAACAACATTGATTTATGCAAGCTGAGGAGCTGGGTTTGAGTTAAATATCTGTATGTTAGTGAATGATGGACTCTTTACTAGGAACATAAATTACAGTGTACCTGGATGAGATCAGTGGAAAAGGTCAGTAGTGGATGAGAATCACCTGTGGTGTTGGAAGAGTAATACTTTTTGAACTAAACCATTTCTATTTGGAAGGGGTGAACTGCCTGAAAAGAAGATTATTTTGAGACATTTTAATCGCTGAGCTGCTAGTGAGTTCCCTGGCTGTAGCACATCATTTTTGTTAGTACAATAACAAGCGTGACACTTCAAAACTGACAGGCTTTGTGGCAAAAGGATACTGTTGGAGCAAAGCCAGTTTGAGGCACAGCCCCTGTAGGACCATATGTGGGACTTTCAGGATACAGGGTGATGTGGCTATGCCAAACACCTTGCTTTCATTGGTAATAAAAATAAGCTTGAGGTTTTGTGATCATGAAAGAAAAAAAAAAAAAGATGTGACTCAATCCAATTGAAGCAACCACATTTATCTGAGCCTGGAGACAACAGGAAGCAATAACTCAGAGTGGGATGTTAACTCCAAGACCCACTGCTCTGAATCATCTCAGTATTGCCCTAATAGAGGACTCTATTATAGAAGAGTGACAAACATCTCCAGTGTATCACCATTTCTGGGATAAGTACTGGACTTTCTGCTATTCCATCTACTTTTGACCTAGATTTTGTTTGAGAGGAAATATCCTACAGCTATTCCTCAGGGATAGAAGGGAGAATGCAAAAAAACCCTTCCATGTTAATTTCCAGGTATGAGGAATTTGTGACTATTGCATCAAGGCAATTGTCACATATCCATATTCTCTGTAGAAAAATTATATACTCTTCTGCATAGCTGATCAATCCAGGAGATACCAGAGCTGTGGGTAACTCACTGTGAAAAAGTTCTTACTACAACTATGGAAAATATAATGGGAAGCTAACGTCCCTCTTGCATGGGAGTTTTGAAGAGCAGGCAGAAAACTCTGCATGGTTGGGAAACTCTTCTCCACAGGCTATGAGAGGCCAACTGGAAGGTGAAAGCCATTTCCCAGGGGAGATGGAAAGCATTGCATGTTACTCACATCAGCTGAGAAGCTATATGATTCTTCGTGACCTTGACTCAGAAACACCGAAGCACTAAGAAACACTAAGAATGAGACGGTATTTGGATTTGGCCAAGGTCATGGCGTGGGGGGAGGGAAGAAATGACAAATTATTATCTCTGCAGCAGTCTGTACATAATAGTTTTTACCATCAAGAGAGGAATTTGCTTTCAAACTAGAGGCCAATGCTTCAAGAAGAAGCTGAGTCAAAGGAAGCACAGAAGTTTCTCATGTTTGATGCAGCTGCTGAGTTCCAAAGAGGAAGAAGAATTGGATTGCTTCAAAGTACTTGAAACACCCTGTAGGGATTTTCATTTTCTATTGAGATTCTCTGAAAGATCAATATTTAATGGAATAGTACTGCAACCCTCAATTTATAGCACACTATATCACACTATACTGGATCTTACTGTTGTATTGCTATAATCAATTAAAATAAGCAGCTATATTTTATTGGTTTTAGAAACAATAAAATATTTTTAATTATAAGCCAGCTTTTTCCTCAAGCCTCTTCAACTGACACAACTGTGATCAGAAAGCCTAGATTTAGATGCAGAAGAATATAAGCCTTCCCTTTCCTAATATTTCTTTTAATTCCGTGACATTTTAAATGCTTTTTCTGTGAAATATGCAACATAGAAATGCATTATTACATTGTGCTGGAGACCAGATTTATCTTTTCTAATTTGGGATGACTGTGAATTTCACTCAAGTGGTTTCTTCATTTCTGCATAACATATGCAGAAACACACATCAATGAAACCTCTATATCCTCTTACATGTGTATAAGTATCTGAAAAATGTAGGCTTATATGTAAGCAGGTGTAGGAACGTACAAAAAAAAGTGTTAATCCAATACAACCATTACAAGGTGATACATCCACATCTAATGAAATCAGCAAGTGGGAAAAGTTACTTTGTGCCAGGGACCTTAACAGAGCCACACAGTATACAATATATGTTTTCTTAGACCTGGAAGACAAACTGAATTTTTGAGCAGCCTCTCATTTAATCCATATTTGAATGAGCTCTGTAACTAGTTCTAACCAAGGGTGCAGACATAAATCTACATATGGAATTAGGATTTTCTTTTCTGTGCCATTTTTAGTTAATCGTTTTCAAGCTCATCTACTCTGTAGTGGTTCCTACAACAAACAGGGCTAAATTACAGCAATCTGGGATGCACAGTTCAATCTGCTGGTTGTTTCTTCACTTCCGTAACATAATTAAGAGTGGTTTTACAGTCTCCTCTTTTCTGCTGGGTTGTTGAAGAAAATGCTTCATTTTCAGTTTTTGTTTTGTACTTGCATCTTTTGCATAAAAAAAGGAAAGAAAAAACCGCTTGTAATTGCAGCTCTGCCAACTCCACACCTTGCATGGGGTTTTACGTTTCCTGGACTTCCTCCCCGCCCCATTCCCCCAGCTGACCAAAGCCTCTCTCCAGCGATGCTGCCCTTCTGATACTGCAAACATCCCTTGCTTCCCGCTCAGTTCCACCAAAAGCCCTGCACCCTGTCACTGGGTTCACCCCACTACTATCCACCAAAAACCACAAGAGAGATTCTGGGGATAAAAACAGTTTTATGTACACTTTCATTTAACCCCTCGCAAAACTACATGTAGAAATCGAGGGGGTCTGCAAGGGATTTCGCACAGTTGGTCTGCTGGTTGCCTCCAGATTCCCCACGTGCAGAAGCTCCAGGAAAGCAAACTGATAAGAGACCCAGGGAACGAAGCTGCTGGGGGAGCAAGTGTGCTTCCTTGCCTCCTGCACAGTGAGGCAGAGGCCACAATCATGTCTGAGTCACCAGGAGGATGCAAAGACCCACGAAGGTGTATTTTGGTTATCTTCGTGTTTCATTGTTAACACCTAGTTCATGTCACAAGTTATTTAGGACTGCGAGCAAAGTGCCTTTCACTGTTGTATGTAAAGGAACACTTTCATTAACAGAGTTCTTAGGGTTCCTTCCATTCATGGGGTGGCCTATGGCCTCACTTTTAAGGAAACAAGTTACCAGTAAGCAAGAAGGAGAGACATCAAGAAGGAAAACATAACACTGACTGCAGTCTGTAAGTTTATTTGCTGCACAGTGCATGCTGCTGTCCCGAGTTCCATCTCCACCTGCCCCATCAATCATTTCTTTTGTTCACATGGTGAAGGGGATTTTTTTTTAATGTGTGAATGATGCCCAGTCCTCAGGCTTGTGCAATGCCTGCTGAGCTGAATGGAACAAAACAATATTATTTTGTAGCAAGAATGTTCTGTGCCATGTCCAACAATGAATTTATCAGAAAGGCAATTTTTCCTCCACA